CGGGCCTTCAGGAGGTATATATTTATCTCGAATTGAGTTAAATACTGTCCAAATTATAAAATAAAAGGAAAGTTTGTGTTCTCGTTCCATGTCACAGACAATTCTGCCCAGATAACGATTATCCTCGGACCGAAGGAAGCACCACAGACCGCAATGCGGGCCACGTTTGACGAGCTGCTGTTATCATTCTTTGGAAAGAGACCGTACAATCGGTAAGCATCTTTACTCAACATTTTTCTAATCACAGAAATGATCGATATGAGAATTGAGGCTTTCCTCTTATCTAGGGATTATCGGGCCGAAATCGACAGCACGCGCGTGTTTTTATATGTCCGTCAGCAAAGATAAATTGTAGATGTCCAAAATGTTATACGTTTTGCCTAAATCGAGGAAATGAAATCATCATTAAAACAGACTTTTCAATAACGTATACGAGTGAGAAATTCTTGTTCTTTATACAAAATAAGCTAAGCTAGAAAAAATGTATCCAAAATTTTAGAGTTGTCAGATGCAGGGATAGTCAAAAATTCTGTTAATATATTCTTTGTAAATCTGAAATTTCTCCATTTTGGTATTTATTTCAAATATTTCTTGTATCTACTTGTTACTGTGCTAAAAGATATCATGTCTGATTTCCACATATATTTATTTTATTTATTTTGAATGTAGTTACCACATTAGTCTCACTAAATAAGAGATTGCCCTCAAGTGGTCCGGTAACTCTTATGTTTTCTATTTTTTATTACATATTCTTAACCAAACTGATATGTTTCCTGTGTCCTGGTCACAACCAATTAATGTTTTGCATTAGTTTCACAATTAGTAATGTTCAACACTCGACACTACATTCTAAACTCTCGTAACTTTTCAGTCTTTGCGTTGATAAGAATTATTTTGCAAAAACATTACTTTCTGGTACATTCAAGCTTCGTGGGGAGGTGAAAAGAATAATCATGTACTAGGAACAGCTGCAGTGTGCATGGTTTTTAAAAAATGCCAAAAAAAAAAAAAAAGAGTACAATGCCCCCTACAAACCTTAACTTACATGTTTGAATGGCCNCATCTGGTTGCGCCTATGCAACGACCAACAAAGGACATTCATTTCGCCAATGGCCTGGTTTACCACAGCTAAAACACGTGCCACGTTTCTGGGGAGTACCGCCTACAAATGGACCGATATTTCTTGTGCCACCCACGGACGGGGAAAAACGGGATGTGTAATTTCCTGATGGGAAAGCGAACGAGCTTTGTAATGGCGAAACCCTTGTGCTTCCCACTGCTCTCGTAGACTTGAATGACCAGGAGCGAGCCTTCGCAGCCTTAGAGGCGAGCGTTTCGGCAAGTTTTCTCTGAGCTTCTTTTTCCGCCTTTTTCATTTTCTTGGCGTCCTGGAAGAAAGCAATGTTGTCAGATGCAGGGATAGTCAAAAATTCTGTTATTATATTCTTTGTAAATCTGAAATTTCTCCAGTTTGGTATTTATTTCAAATATTTCTTGTATCTATTTGTTACTGTGCTAAAAGATATCATGTCTGATTTCCACATTTAAATTATGAAAACTTACATATAATTGCTGACTTTCACAAGTTATTTACCCAAAAATATCAAAATATAATTCCTGGACAGGCTGACAAGGGAGCATTCACAATCCATCCACATGTCCCAAGGTTTTATTATATATTTATTTAAAGTATACAAAACAAATTCAGTCGTGAAAGTGAAATCCATTTTATTTTATTCACTCTTCAGCCCATCCCCCTTTTTTTTCGTTTATTGTCGAATGCGTTTTCTTATTTTGGGTCGGTCGTTCGGAAAAGGAAAAAAACAAAACTAAAATAAAATTGGAAAAGGAGTCTGGAGCTACGAGGCCCGGTACCTCAGCATAATATCCGTGGAGCCTGGAAACAACAAGGCGCCCGTCAGGAAAAACCCCCTTTTTAGAGGAAACCTGANACAGGTTGACAAGGGAGCATTCACAATCCATCCACATGTCCCAAGGTTTTATTATATACTTATTTAAAGTCTACAAAACAAATTCAGTCTTGAAAGTGAAATCCATTTTATTTTATTCACTCTTTAGGTACTCTCGACCTTGAATTTGCCTCTTAGCAGAATGCAGGACCTGAAACAAATCACAAGCGCTTAGAAGATTATTACATTCCTTACAGATGTCAATATTATTACAAATGTATTTTTCGTTTTAACATATGAATGTATTTTGAATGTAGTTACCACATTAGTCTCACTAAATAAGAGATTGCCTTCAAGTGGTCTGATAACTCTTATGTTTTCTATTTTATATTACATATTCTTAACCAAACTGATATGTTTTCTGTTCACAACCAATTAATGTTTTGCATTAGTTTCACAATTAGTAATGTTCAACACTCGACACTACATTCTAAACTCTCATACCTTTTCAGTCTTTGCGTTCATAAAAGTTATTTTGCAAAAACATTACTTTCTGGTACATTCAAGCTTCANTTTCTAATCACAGAAATGATCGATATGAGAATTGAGGCTTTCCTCTTATCTAGGGATTATCGAGCCGAAATTGACAGCAGACGCGTGTTCTTATATGCCAACAAAGATAAATTGATTTTGTCCAAAATGTTATACGAATTTTTGGCTAAATCGAAGAAATGAAATCATTATTAAAACAGAATTTTCAATAACGCATACGAGTGAGAAATCCTTGTTCTGTTATACAAAATAAACTAAACTAGAAAGATGTATCCAGAATTTTAGTGTCACGGTTGTCAGGTGCATGGATAGTCAAAACTTCTGTTACTTTGTAAATCTGAAATTTCTCCATTTTGGTATTTATTTCAAATATTTTTTGTATCTACTTGTTGCTGTACTAGTAAGAAGATACCATGTCTGATTTACACATTCAAATTATGAAAACTTACATATAATTGCTGACTTTCACAAGTTATTTACCCAAAAATATCAAAATATAAATCCTGAACAGGATGACAAGGGAGCATTCACAATCCATCCACATGTCCCAAGGTTTTATTATATATTTATTTAAAGTATACAAAGCAAATTCAGTCTTGAAAGTAAAATCCATTTTATTTTATTCACTCTTTAGGTACTCTCGACCTTGAATTTGCCTCTTAGCAGAATGCAGGACCTGAAACAAATCACAAGCACATAGAGGATTATTACATTGCTTACAGATGTCAATATTATTACAAATGTATTTTTCGTTTTAACATATGAATTTATT